TCCACTTCGTTTTGCTCAGGTGTTCCAGGACATGAAACCTGGAGATGGATACCACAATTACTAATATGACTGAGAAAATCAAAGGAGTTAAATTCTCCACCACCATCACATTGAAATTTTTTTATTTTTCTATCAAATTGATTTTCTACTAATTTTTGAAATTTTTGAAAACAAAGAAAAAAATCAAACTTTTTCTTTAAAGGATATAACCAAGAAAACCTTGAAAAATCATCTATAAATATAACATAAAACCGAAATCCTTGATTTGAAACTGTTAGAGAAATAGGGTGTTAGTTGAGAGGATCTCTCTTAGCCTTAGTTTTAGGTATTTGAAACATATGGCTATGATTAGTTCTTGTCTTAATATAAATAGCTCTATACTTCCTTGTACATTGACATACAGAACATATAGAAATATACAATTGAGTTCATTGTTTAACATGGTATCAAAGCGAGATTGAGGTGACTGGGTAGTGGGTGTTGGTCGGAAAGAGGAGGCGGCGCCGGCGGGAGAGGCGGAGCAGCCACCGGAGTCCTCATGCGCCGCCACGGGCCGGCGCTGTCCTAGGGTTCCGACGCCACGCGCTAGCGCGTGGGCAGTTCTCCGGCGTCTTCTCCGGTCGCGGCCGGTACCGTTGGGCTCGTCTCTGAACACCCAATGCGTCTGCAGTGGTGGTGTACTCCGGTGTTGCGAAGGGCTACTGCATTTTGGACTGCTGCATTTTTGGATTGCTGCATTTTCAGGTTGATCTGTTTTGTGTATTATGGCTGAGGAGAGTGAGCAGAGGATGGAGGGCTGCGTCGAGTGGTTCAGTGAAGGGTTTGGGTTCATAACCCCCGATGACGGCAGCGAGGATTTGTTTGTTCACCAGTCTGGTGTCAGCCGAGAAAGAGAGACAACCGAGAGAGATGGTAGGGGAGGTTCACGAAACTGGGTGGTCCGAGGTCCATGAAGCTGGGTGGTCTGAGGTCCACAAAGCTGAGAAATAATTAGGCAGTAGTTTTCTTTTGTTTATCGTGTTCGTATTAATAAGTCTTGACCTTTGTATTTTGTTTATCATAGTTTGTCGCTCTAAATTAATTTGATCTGGGAGCAATTCTGGGGTCTGAGTTAAGTCAAGTGCAGCTTGTTCAGTGTGCATAAATAGGGGTGCTGCAGGAGTGGGCATCACATGTGCCAGGAGTGGGGCGGACCTGGCATATGCCGCGGGGGAGACCGACGGCTGAAGAATGATTTAGAGTGAATCAGTTTACGTGCATGCACCATGGAAACGTTGTAGTGTTAGGCAGCGTTGATAAGGGTGCATGGTGAGAGGGACAAGTGCACTGTGGTCTAGCAGCGCCAAGGGTTTGTGGAATGAGAGGCAGGTATGCTGTGGTGTTAGCCAGCGGTGATAAGGGTGTGGGGAGTGAGAGGCAGGTGCGGCGCTGTGGTGATTGACCTAGTTTTTGTTGGCTCCGTAGAAGTGTTATTGGTGCGACAAGGTGCGTTGTGGACTGGTTTGGCACAGCGTGGTTCGAAGGTTGTTCGAGTGGTTCAAGATTTGGGCTTATAGTCTAGGTGTGGAGTCATATGGTTCATGTGATACATATGTAACAAGTTGGATGCTCCAACTTGAGGGGGAGTGTTAGAGAAATAGGGTGTTAGCTGAGAGGATCTCTCTTAGCCTTAGTTTTAGGTATTTGAAACCTATGGCTATGATTAGTTCTTATCTAATATAAATAGCTCTATACTTCCTTGTACATTGACACACAGAACATATAGAAATATACAATTGAGTTCATTGTTTAACAGAAACAGTAGGAGCTGGTCCCCAAAGATCACAATGAACTTTTTGTAAAGGATAACTAGACATATCATTATTCAAATTAAAAAGGTAATTTACAACTCTTTCCAGATTGGCAACTAGCATAGATAGATGACTTAGTTTGCCAATTAGTGACATCAATGACTTTCTTTCCTTTTAACAGAGATAAAATCTTTGCACTTGAATGTCCAAGGCATTGGTGCCACAAAGAAAAAGAGTTGTCCCCTTTTATTGCAGATAAAGCTTCTTGAAAACCAGGTTCCAAAGCATAGAGTTGTCTTTGTCTATGCCCCTTCCCCATTGTTCTCTTGTTTTGATCCTTAATAACAAAATCAGATGGTGTGAATTCAACAGTACAAAAATTATCACTAGTGATTTTACTTACTAAAATTAAACTCTTTTTCAGTTCCGGAACAACAAGAACATCTTTTAAATTTAATTCTCCAACACATGCATTTCCAGTATGTGTTATATCAAGTTTGTTTCTGTTTCCAACATAGATAACATCATTTCCTTTATATGGTTTTGTATAAGACAACATACCTGCGTTGTTGGTCATGTGAGCTGTAGCTCCGAGTCCATATAAAAAGAAGGATCATTGTTGTTTAAGATGAGTGCTGCCAATGCTTGTGGTAGATCTTCTGATTGATAGGAATAGTCAAATCTATACCAACAATCAAGAGCAATGTGATTCAGCTTACCACATATTTGACATGTTGGTTTGTCACCTTTTGATTGCTGAACAATTTCATTTGTTCGATCCTTTTTGAAGCTATTGGAACCAGTATTGTTGTAACGTCCTGCCGGAGTAAATCCTCTACCTCTTGAATTAAAAATCCCGCGATGTCCACGTCTACGTCCACGTTGGCTAAAGAGTGCTTGATTATATTCAATATAATTTTTATCTTCTTCTTTTTGAGAGGCTAGGGTCTACTCGTACCCCTGAAGAGCAAGTAAAAATTGATTAAATTTAGGATAAGGAGGTTTAGTTACCATAGCTAGACGGAAGCTTTCATAGTTTGCTCATAGTCCACGTGCAAATTGAAAAACTTTTATCAAGATCATCCACAGGTTTCTTGATAGCTGCTAGGTTGTCGTAGATCGATTTGAATTCTTTTGTGTAATCATCTACGGATCGTGATCCTTTCTTGATGGTCATCAACATATTTTTCAAAAGACCTTCCTTTTCAATTGTGATTGGCAGCAATTGTTCTTCTAAAGAACTCCACAAATCATAAGCAGTAGCATATTCTACAATGGATGGTTGAGCTTCTTCTTTTATTGAGCCAAGCAACCATGAAATAAGAGGACCATCATTTGTTAACCACAAGGTATATGCTGGATTCACAACCTCATCTTTTAGCAAACGTTCAGGTTTGTCATCATTCTTTTCCAAATGATGAAGCACGCCAAGACTACGAGCCAGATGAATGATTTGTGATCGCCACATGAGATAGTTATTGGAGCCTAGTCTGATTGAAATCAAACTGGCACACTGATGGAATGATTGCTTGGGTTCATGACTGAATAATAAGAAAATGGAGAAACCGGGATCTTGATGCCTGCGAGTTTCAAGGCTCTGAAACCATGAAAAACTCTTATAAACTTAATATTATTGTATTCGATTATGCATATTTCATAAGATAGGACAGACTTATATACAAAGAGAAGGGAGAATTAAAAAGGCAAGATATCATAATGATTCCTTTCAATATTTCCTTGATTTTATGCAGTGATATTTGTTTCCCTTCTTCCTGTGAAATCTTTTGTTTCCTCAATTTGCTTTTCTTCCTTATCACAAATAAATGCAAAGTATCCCACACCCAACACTTATGTATTTGAAAACCTAAAGATAAGATTCCAGTTGTGAAATTTAGGCACGACCTTACTTGAACACAGGGACAGAGGCAAGTGCATGCCTAGGGGGGCCAAGGCCCCCCTCCCCCACCCCAATTTTTTTTAATGTTATATATGTATTAAATTTTTTTAAAAAATATTATATAGAATTTTAAAATTTTGTTGTTTCTTCAAAATATTTGGCCCCCCTCCACTTAATTAATCTTACAGGTTAAGTTATAAATTTTTTCATCTTCTTACTTTTCAAGTTTTCTCCTATTTCAAATTATGTATTCCCTATATCGTTGACTCACATTCAAATTAAACCTTATTTAACCTACTTACTAGTTTCTCTCTCTAGAACCATGCATATATGCGGCATATACGTTATAATAAGATAATTTGTCATTAATAAAATCTATGCATATTTTTCAAGTTAATTTTTGTTTTTATTTTTGTTCCATATTCTATTGTTTATCTTAAATAGTTCTTTTGTTTGATTCTAAATCATGGATATCAAGATGCATTTGTTTGGTTAATTATGTAAATTTGTGGTTATATGATAAATTTTATATTTAATTTAAAATGCATAATAATGTAACAATTGTGTAGTATATGTATTTGAGAAAACAATTGCTCTTATGTTATGTTGTGAAGAGGATTTTTCAAGAAATAATCAATAGTCTTTTAAAACATGCGTGAATGTTTTCATTCTTTCACCCGTACAAAGCAATGTGCATTGAAAAGCATATTGCAAAATAATTTAATATAGATTCAATTATAAATGATTTATTCTATAAACTTTATTGAATTTGTAATGTAATGATTATTTTGACCTATGTTAACGGGATATTAATGTATTTGATTTAGTACTTCAATCATAGTTGGCCCCCGCACTATTCAGTCCTGGCTCCGCCTCTGCTTGAACAGGATCTGTTCTATAGGTTTGTACCTTTGTATCCTTGAGTTCTAAGGAGACAGGAAACTAAACTAAGTCTGGTTGATGAACTGTGGTCAGGGGGCTAGAGCGTGAGTGACAGCACCGTGCCTTTGCCGGCCGGAGCCGTGGCTTCCAATTCTTTTTTCTGCTGCATTGACGAGTGGAGATTTGATTTTTTGTTGGTGGCTTCTTCCAATCCTTGTGCTGCTACTGTTTTTATATCCATTGGTCTACAGGTTTTTATATTGTTTTGATGTTTTACACAGTTTGCCCACACCAGAAAATGGAGATTCTGAAATAAAGTTTTTTTTTAAATGGTTTATTCTGAAATGAGATCAAATCAGATTTTTATCAAACAATATGAAATTCCAAGTTTCGACTTTTTAAAGGCAGTTTCATTCATTTTCAAATAACATGCGTTTGTAGTCCAATGGTTAGGATAATTGCCTTCCAATCAATAGATCCAGGTTTGATTCCTGGCAGACGCATGTCTTTGCTTGTTTAATTTCGTATGCTGAATTTAAGTAGTGAAATTGCAAAAATCAGTCTATACGCCCCTAGGCCATGGCGATTTTCTCCCTAGGCAACTGGCCACCTAGCGCTTAACTCGGCTGAATTTGACCCAGTTGACTCGTCCATTTGGGTCTAGCCGAGTTAACTCAACCTTGCTAATTTTTTTCATTATATATATATAGGCTTCGGATCCCATGAGGTCACTTAGATGGGTGAGATAATGGGGCATCATCTCATCCATTAAATCATACCATATCAAAGGGTGAGATTGAAAGAGATTTATTTTCCATCTATGGTAATAGTCTATGCATAAGGGTGTATAAGTAATTGTAATATTAGAGCTATATATGGTTAGGAATAGATTGGAATATATTCCATGCTAAGGATCAACTAATTATGGTGTTGAATAATATATTTACGGTTATAAATTATTGTTGATAGAGTGTGAGTTGTATTTAAACATTTGTACTCATCAATAGTGTTTTGCGGTGGGATATCTCCTCAACAATGAAGGTGCAACAGGAAAGAGGTATGTGCAACCTTAATAGAAGTGTGTTATGGGGTATGTTCTGTCTGTGCAGCCATTTAGTTAAGTCCGTGCGTTGAGTTAAGAACCCAACGCACAAGCCCAAAAACTAAACCGAACAAACGTCAGACCTACTAGAATCTAGTGTAAATTTTAAATTAAAAAAAAACAAAAAAACAAAAAAAAAAAAAAAAAAAAAAACACACACACACACACCCCTTGTAAACCCCAATCGCACAGACCATAACAACAAAAAACACCAAATAAATATATAAAATAACAACACACCAACAGTTAATAGATCGTAACATGTTACAATTAAAATACACATACCAAAATTGGTTTACGTAAAAAAAAACAAAAACCAAGCTATAAAAATATAGTAAAAGTTTGCCTCAATTCTAGTTGCCAGTCCAAATAAGAGATATTTGGCCTGAAAACTTGTCAATCTATTTGTGACCCAACGCACAAGCCGAACACATAAAATGCACACAGAAAAACTTCATAACACAACGCAAACTTCTGTTCATTAATTTTTAAATTGAATAACGGAATCAACATGCAACAAAAACCACAACCATACCGCTGATTGATCATACCCGTCATAACAAAGAATTTAAGCCAAACGCACACACGGGAAAACAAATTGCACACACAGCATAACAAAGAATTGAAGCCAAATGCACACACGGGAAAACAAATTGCACACACCCTATACAATACCATAATTAAGTAGTGCAGAAGCCCATAAAAATCTGCTAATTAATTATTACACCCTAATTAAGACACTACCAAAAAGACAACAACACCCCCACATGCAAATAAATCACACGCACAAGGCATTATATTCAGCCAAATCTAATCCATCCAAAAACCCAAATAAACGCACCAGATCAAGCCTCACCACCTCGCCTGACAAAGGTAACCTCACTGGATCCAAAATCTATATATATATATATATATATATATATATATATATATATATATATATATATATACACACACACACACACATCTGCACACGTGCACTGTTTTTTTTTTTTTAGTTAGCCGCCTAGGTGACCGCCTAAGCCGTCTAGGCGCTAGGCACTACTCTACCACCCGACTAGCGCCTAGCGCCTACTGCAACCATGCCTTCAGTATATCAAAAATATATGTCAATGGCGAACTTGCAATATAAACCATAGTCTATTGTATAATAATTTCATAGCTTCTTGGTTGACATGTCAATCACATTAAATCCTAATGGGCACACATGTCATTTGGTAGCTGGGAGTTTTCTGATTGTAGTTGATTAGAGATTCCGATTTTAGCTCATAAGCGATCTTGTATTTCAAATTTCTTAGATGTTCTGATTTTATAATAGTACTAGTTTTTTCTACGCGCTTTGTGCGAAAACTTGTGCCCAATATTTAAACTCGATTAGTAAAATGTATTTATAATTTTTTTTTTTTAGTTGTCGAAGTTTCATAATTATCCACGTGAAGATTATTTTGTTGATGTATTTGAAATTTACACAAGAAATACAAATTCATTATGATGAAAATATACAATTTTGATTTTAAGTAAGGGTACTCAACGTTATATACATCTATTTTAAGTAAGGGTACTCAACGTTATATTATAGATAAGTATCTAAACTCATCATACAATACATTAATTTGTAATCCTTTGTCATCAGAATCCATTATTGTAATTAGCTTAAGTACAAAAAACATGCATATGCACATTCTCCCATCCCTACTCAAATTAATACAGTTGCAAAAACTATGAAGTATGTATCTAGAATCCACAAAACATGCTTAGGTCCAACTCCGTTGATTGGCCATTTTAAAGAAGATTATCACACTACATATTTGTAATTAATGTGATGGAGTTTTTTTTTTAGTATTTTATTTATCGTCTTTAATGGTTTTCAACAACAAAAGAAATCATTGTTCTTGCAATTCTCCTTTAACAAAAACTAGTTTTTGCCCCGTGCGATGCACGGCATAAAATTTAAGTAACTTTATTATTGATAATATTTTAAAAACAATAAAATAAAATATTAATCATGAAATTAAAACTTATTCTGAAATGTATTTTCCTTTAACAATACTAAATTGGTTGTTATATCGAACATCACATACTGTTAGCATATATTATAAAGAAATTGTGTTATAACATACCACATGAGATTTAAAAATTTTACATTAAAATAATTATATATATATATATATATATATATATATATATATATATATATATATATATATATATATATATATATATATATATATATATATATATATATACACACACACACACACACACATTTTTATAAAAAAAAATTAGGAAATCAAACAATTTACAATAAAAAATTATGAAATTAAATTTTCTTATATATAAAACATTTATTAATATGATTTGCAATTAAAGCCAATAGTACATATACTTGACAATATATAAATAAAAAATACAATATCATCATCATACATTGAAACTAATTACGAAAATCTTTTCTTAAATATTGCTTAATTATAATAATTATATACGTACATCATATATAAATCTAAACTAAATATGAAATATTTCATGACATGAAATAAAAAATAAAACCTGCAATGCTAAGCCCAATAAACATTTAATTATCTATCCATATAACCCAGTTATTGTTTAAAACGAAATTAAGAAATACATCATATTTTCTAATTACTTAATATCAGTTCAATAATTATTTGTTTAAACTTATTCGTCTCTCCAATATTATTGTTCATGCAACTGATTTAAATTTTAAAAAACTTTTTTTCAATTTAGTAACTGCTTTAGTAACTTTTTTATTTTTTATTTTTTAAAATTTTCCCTCTCAAAACTATATTAGAATGAGCAATTAAATTATTGTCGATCAACAAAATTGTAAGAATAAAAAAACAGGTTAATCTTTTTTTAAAATCAAATACTCTAATTTTTTTATTTCAGTAAACAATAAATTAATTTATATAATAAAATGTTAACTTAAAAATACTGGAATGTATTACCTGCTTCATCATTAAATAACAATAATTGTAGATTAACATGTATTGAAAATATATAAGTATGCTGCATTATATACCTTAAAATGATGCAATTTCATTTAATTGGTATTTAATACCTTAAAATGATGCAATTTCATTTAGGCGGGAAACTGATGTGGCAAAAAACATTTTGCTATTATATAGAGTAAGATTTTCAAGTATTGTAGAAGAAACTGATAAATTAACAATGAAAAAAATTTAAATTTAAATTTACATAAATTATTTATGCCCCCATACCACTTCACAACATAATAATTAAATATTTTCTTATGCTGTCAACATTATGTTTTCTATATATGATTTTCTTAATTTCGCTATCAACACCCAAAAGAAAAACAAATGAAAATGGTGATTAAAAACTGGACTATTCTTCAATCAATAAGCTAGGAAACTTAATAACAAAAAATGAGAACAAGAAAACAGAGTAAATTGATTTTAGAAATTACATGCTCTCATTTTGAATAACATATCACACAATGTATTGAACCATAGAGGATTTGGCATATATCGATATACATATCACTTGAATTCAGTTGTCTCAATTCAACAGCTTTCACATGCATATTGATATCCAAAAACCCTGTGGCACATGTGTCATATATCCAAATACACATCACTTAAATCCACTTGGGGGTGTGCACATAGGTTATGATCCAGTTTCCAATTACTTTTAAAGGTAGCTGGTAGAAACATATCCTAGCTACTTGGATCATATATTACTCAGTATGCTTGAAATCCTTTGGGGTGTGCACATATGTTTTAGTTCAGTTTCTAATTTGGTTGCGGTTTTGAATTATTTCTCCATGTTTTGAAAATGAGAATAAAATATTATTTTAGTACAATTTATATATTATGGATGGAGAAAATATTATTTTTGAATATTAAGTTTTTGGTGAGTACTAAAAATTCTTTTGACTACATATTTTTTAAAAAAAATATATAAATATTATATTTAAAACTTATTTTACAGGGTGGAGTGAACTTTAACAAAGTTTTGCTAATGTTGCTAACGTTGTTTGTTTTGTATGTCTTATAATTGTGACTTGTACAGGAGATTGTTGTTTGTTTTGTATGTCTTATAATTGTGACTTGTACAGGGGATTGAGTAAGAGGTTGATTGAAGAGAGAGCGAAAGTATTAGTTACTTGTTAATCATATTTCAAGAATTATTGTTCAGGACTTATAATAAGTTTCTTAAAGTTTAAATTATTATTATTATTATTATTATTATTATTATTATTATTATTATTATTATTATTATTATGGCATTATTTTGGATTTTAAAACCTTGCATCTAGTCTTGATAAGTTAGATGTGGCGATAACACTCTATAAGAGTGAAATTTGTATTATGAATTGTTTAAGACATGAATTGAGTACAGAGATCATATACTTAC